CAGGCTGCACTGGCTCTCAATTACCAAACTGATCAATTTCGAGATCCTCTCACTCATTTTCAAATCCCTTCATGCCCTTGCACCTCCCTACTTATCCAATCTGCTTATCCACCATTCAACCACCTGCTGCCTCTGCTCAGTTGGTTCTGGCCTCTTGTTTGTCCCTCGACTTTTCCACTCCACCATCGGTGGCTGGGTCTTCAGCCACTACGCCCCAAATCTCTGGAACTCTCTCCCTCAATCCCTCTACCTTGCCTTCTCCTTCCCCATTTTCAAATCCCGCCTAAAGACCTTCCTTTTTGATCATGCTTACAGTCACCTCCCTCTCCTCCTGGCTTGGGGTCAGACTCTGCCACTGTCAAGTGTTCTGGGACACTACCCTGCATGTAGTGCACTACATAAATGCAAATTGTCCTATATATGGGGAATAAAGAGACAAGAGAAATATAGAGAAAATAATGTCGGAGACAAATGAAACCTTAGAAACGCAACAAGGAAAAATAGACTCAGAAAACTGTAGCAAGAGGGAAAAGCAGTAATACATTTCACAATACTATTTTTGAGCAAGCTATGCCAATGAAAATTTGTAATAGCTTCACAAATGTATTACTCTATCACATTTATTACTCAATTATTAAAGTAATATTTTCTACTTTTCCTACTTGTAATAAATTAAACTAGAAAATAGCAGCATAATTTCATAATAAATATTGTCCTTATTGGGAATTTAACCTTGAATCATATTTGTTGGCCCAGATTAGCATTGTAAGAAACTGACCTCTTTGTGAAGGATATATTGAGAGTACCTTAGTTGCCACTATTTCTCCAGGATACGTAGAATGATGCTGGATGAAGCTGCAGAGTGACTTCATATGAGTTATTGCAATAAAATAAGCTGTCCGAAAGTGGTTTAAGAACTTCTAAGAACAAGGTCATAGTTAAACATTAGGCTTGCATAGCCACTAGAGTAAGACCTCATATCCTAACAAGATCAAATGGTATGATGTGGTTGCATCATATTAAGCAAGTTGCTTATCTCGGCAAACTGGAGTCATTACAAGTAACCAAAACAAAGTTATTGCAGAAGAGCAATAGTTCTGATTTCAGTCTGATTCAGTTGGTAGCACTCAAGCTTCTGATTCGGAAGATTATGGGTTCAAGCCTCTTGTCAGGATTTTGAAAACACAGTTCTAAGATGACAACAATGCATGCTGCGGGTGTGCTCTATTGTCAGAGGATAATAATATAATAATCCTTGCATTTGATATAGCGCTCATCACGTCTTCAAGACGTCTCAAAGCACTTCACAGAATTTACTGTAAAGTGAATTGACTGTATATTTTGTGGGCAAAATGCAGCAGCCAATTGCGCACAGCAGTATCCCACAAACAGTCGTACATTATTGTTATTATTTTGATTTCAAGGGATTATTCAAGCGATGTCTATCCTTTGGATGACAATCTAAATTGAGGGTCTGCCTGCTTGTTAGATGAATGTTGAAGATCCCATTGTACTATTCAAAATGAGAAAGGAGTTACTCCTGTGTCCTGGCCAACAAACCCCAGATAATAGTAGTCATTCAATTCACAGCTTATTGTGGGACATTGCTGTGTGCAAAATTGCCTGCCATGTTTGCCTACAGATTACACAGTCACTACACTTTAAGTAAACCCTGTGATGTTTTGATGATGTGATGGTGCTATATCCAATATAAGGATTATTATTATTATTATTGTTTCCAGTCAAGTTTATGAAATCATAGCTTGTTGAATTTCTTGGGCAAACAAGATCAGTTTGTATATTTAACATTTTGCCTCTTCTTTCCCGGAGAGCTGAAAAATAATAATTACATTTCTCTCAACGTTTCTCAGGGCTTAATGGTTAGATGAATTCAGATCCCCAGAAGTCATGCTCAAGCCAGACATTGCTCTGTAAATGGCACATGGAACACTGTGTACAGAGCTGTTTACCACAATATAATGGAGTTGCCCATAATGTAAGCACTCGGAGACGCTACCCTGCATGGAGAGCGCTATATAAGTCCAGGTTGTTGTTGACCTAGAGGCAGTTCAGAGAAGAGATTGATTCCCAGTTTTAGAGGAATGAGCTATGAGCAACGATTAGAAAACATACAGCTCTTCAGCTTTGAAAAGAGGCATCTTAAAAGAGGACTTAAAAGAGGTTTTTGCAAAACATAGAAACAGGAGTAGGCCATTCAGTCCCTCGAGCCTGGTCTGCCATTCTATAAGGCCATGGCCCATCTGTAACTCAAGTCCAATTACTTGCCCTTGCCCCATATTCCTTTATATCATGACTTAACAAATATCTATCCAAATATCAAAAAAAAAGCATGGTGTTTATTCATCCGAACTGTTCTTGTGACCGTAATCAAAATACAATGGCAGAGGATCCTTGCTGAAAATGTCTGAAGAAATGTAGGTAATTAAGTGTAATTTGAGGCTTTGGACAGAGGGTGGCACTCCAGTAGTACTTCTTAAGAGCTTTATAAAGAACAGCAGTGACATGGGACAGCAAGGCATTTGTTCTTTCAGTTCTTAGAATCTAGTAACCTCATGAACTACAAGTTCCTATCAACATGCTTTGCTGTTTGTTAAAGCCTTGAAGCTCAAGTAACTGAATGTGTACATGCTACAAATCAAATGGAATGTCCCAAAGGGTTAAAAGAGCATAGAGGCTAGGCTCATCCTTCATTCATCAGTAAATTCACTGATACAATCGGAAACTGCCAAACTCGCTTGGAAAAGAGAGGACAAGTTGCTAATCGACTGTTCACCCAATCCTCCCAAAGTGTGTTTACACCAATACCACATACAATACAATTTATATTCATATGGAGACTTCCACTTTGGGAGCAAACATTCAGGACAAAATTCTCTGTTGCTTATTCAGACACAAGTCCCATGACGTAGTGGTTATTGCATTTGCCTTGCAAATGCGAGAACCCAGGTTCGATTCCCAGATGAGGGGAAACCTTGAGCAAGTTTCCTAACTCCACATACCTCTGTTTGCCTAGCAGTAAGTAGAAACCTGGTTGTTAGTCAATTGGTGGATTGCTTTTTGGGGGTAATAATTCCTCCCCAAAATAATAAATAATAATAATTTAGTCACTCAATCCATGACTGTTTGTGGGACACCGCTGTGTGCAATTGGCAGCCGTGTTTTGCCCACAAAATACACAAGTCAGTCATTTCACTTTACAGTATATTCTGCAAAGCACTTTGAGATGTCTCAACGAAGTGATAAGGTGCTATATCAAATACAAAGATTATTATTTATTATATATGTGTTTCAGTTAAAAGATAACACAAGGCTTGCAGAATGGTCACATTCAGTTTTCAATGAATACAGGAGTTCTGCTTCTCTACAGTATGTCTGCCTTCAGCTCAAGGCATGGCTGTGAATCTCTTCAGAGCTGCTGCTTATTTCATCTTTTTCTGACCAACTTACTCAGCACACTTTGCAAAGAAGACATGAATATTTTGTTCCCTCGATCTAAGATACAATTCTACATTCTCCTCTATGTATTATCAGGAGAAGCTCACCCAGACAAAGCAAAAGAGAGAGGTACTAATTTCACAGTGATCTTGAGCCTTACCACCCTATTCACCTATTAAATGCACAGTCACTACACTCTACAGCATGATTCTGGGTAAGTCCATGTTCAATCAGTTGTGCATTTTCAGTTTTTTCTTGATTGAATATTTCTTGATTTATGCCATAAAGCTCTACAATGAATCCTGCGAAGCCATCTCGAAGACACGATAAGGTAAGATCAGCTGCAAGGATTATTATTATATCCTTCCAGTCCTCCTGGAACCTATTCTCACAGACATGCTCCCCTGACAAACCAGGGGAGGGAACATTACCTGACACGCACTCTTCTATATCAAAAGATTAATTAATGCAACAAGATGTTTTTCCAAATCTTACAGAAAAATAATGGAGATGCTTAAGAAACTTCAAGTAGTAATATAGGACAATTTTATTTTAAGAAGCTTCAATGGTTAGGGCTCACCAGAGTATAGTGCCCAATTCTGGGCACCACACTTTAGCAAGATTGTCAGGGCCTTGGAAAGGGTAGAGGATATTTACCAGAATGATACCAGGGATAACGGACTTCAGTATATGTGGAGAGATTCGAGAGGCTGGGATTGTTCTCCTTAGAGCAGGGAAAGTTAAGTGGAGATTTATTAGAGGTATTCAAAATGATGAGGGGTTTGATAGAGTAAATAGGGAGAAATTGTTTCCTCTGGCAGATTTGTCTTTAAGCAGAGCACACAAGTTTAAAATAATTGGCAAAAGAACCAGAGGGGAGACTAGGAGAAATGTTTTTACCCAGCGAGTTGTTATGATTTGGAATACACTGCCTGAAAGGGTGATGGAAGCAAATTTGATAGTAGCTTTCAAAAGAGAATTGGACAGGTACTTCAAAAGGAAAAAATTGCAGGCCTATAGCATAAGAATAGGGCAGTGGGTCTAGTTGGATAACTCGTTCAAAGAGCTGGCACAATGGGTTGAATGTCCTCCTTCTGAGCTGTCAGATTTTATAATTCTAAGAAAACAGCAGCAAGGTATATAATAAATTACTGGGCCTGACAGACTAGACTTGTAAAAAACGATTGGCATCCAACCAGCACAAATGGGATCAAGCCTGGTTATTCTTCGTAAAGTTTAGCATGACTGTACATTTTCTTTCTCATTATACCTAGCTTAGGCTTGCATTCCCTTTACACTAACAAGAAATCTCAAAGCTAATTCGTGAAAGTATGAAGATTGTTTCAGCACTACCTCGAATTGTATTTTCTTCTTATGTTTAAAAGAAAGCAAACATTCAGGCTAGCGCACTCTGAAGTCAGAGTTGACTGATTAAAGTTCTAAAAAGGTGCGTTCAGGTAGACGTCATGTGGTTGCTATGGATACTGTGTTTGTCCAGGTGGTGGAGGAGATTGTATATATATATACCTCAGCTGAATTAATGAATCTCTCACTTCTGCAACTTTTCCCCACAGGGACTCCCAGCATCACTGAATATCTCAGGTATCTCTTGCTCTGACAATATTAATGCTTTTGTCTTCTACTATACCTAGAAAAGGAGTGGCATTTTTTTTTAACTCTTGCTTTGCTCTACTTGCTCTTGCAGTCTGAACTCCTATCAGAGAAAGTACAACTGAAGTTCTTCTGCCCAGCCATGTCACTACTCTTTGCACCACTATTTTTGTTGCTGGTTGCTGTCTCATCTAACCTGGCTAAGACAATCAAAGTGGAAAAGAAAACGCCTGAAACACTGTCAAGAGGTACAAAGCCCATAGTTGCTTGGTTGTATGATGTGATGTTGCTGGTTATATTGTAGGGGAATCTATATTGAAAGAAGAATGCATGCTGCATAATAGTCAATGTGTGTTGCTACTGAAGCACAATTCTCTTGCAGGAATCAAAGATCAAATTCTGAACCTGCCTATTGTCTACACAACACTTTTTGAATTGTTTTCTTTCAAAACGTTGTTCTAGGCATTAAAAAAATCAAAGCTTGCATCATAGTTCTCTGCTTATTAGGAACAACAAACGTATCTAGATGACATGTGTGTCCAACAGACAGTGCTTATTTGTGAAATATTATGAGATTTCTGCAATTTACTTGTACCTGGAACAGTGATCTTCATTGGCATAGAAACAAAACATTCCTGACAATTTTGTGTCACCCTATTTAAATTACCCGCAATGTCACAGTGGTCATTTTTCTCCTCAGAGATGTTTAAAATGTAAAAACAGATTGCACTATATTCTGAATACCCCCTCCAAGCAAAACAGGGTCAAGCATTCAGACACTCCTGAGGCATGCCGAATGTTTGGAAAATTCTTAAATTCAATTTTAATTTGGAATCTAATTTTCTGTGGATCTTAAACGTTAAGATAATGGTCTTCAGGCTATGTTCAGGAATTTTTTTTGGCTATGGATGTTTTATTTCTAAACACCAGCCAAATCAATGAAAATATTTCAGTCATTTTGGTCCTAGTTTGACACCATAAGCCTTGTGAATTTATCAAAGGTTTAAGTATTCTTGTTATGCTGAATTTTCTAGTGCTTTTTAGTCAGCCAGGTCAGAAAGAGAGTTTTTTTCCACTTTTATTCATTAAAAATGTTGAGAGACGCGAAAGTAATATTCAAATTGAGAGGTTCACAAAAGTGCTACTGGCCAACCTTTGCACTCCCACCTTTGTGCAGAGCAATAATGCATTTGAGATTTGAATTTGAGTTGCTCGTCCTTTCAGTATGCTTCCATAAAGGAGCAAAGAAAGTGTTCACTTATGCCAATGACAAGCATATTGGCACCTGTTCACCTGGTTGTTACAGAAACAGCGTATGCTTTGTATTTTGGTAACCAATGACAAGAGAATCCATATCCTGTTGAAGATTTATGGAACCACTTGAAGGTGAGGAAAGGATGGGGGGAAGGGGAGGACATTGTTTGGTGACTGCCTTCTGCTCTAACCATTCTCTTTCCTGTTGGCAAAATCACTTGTTTGTTGCACATGGGACAGAAACTGGTTCACTTCCAGGTGGGAGAATCTCTAAATGCTCAACGTGGCTCCCAATATTTTTTCCTGCATCGCAAATACAGTATTAGAAGCTGGTTGAATTAATAAAACTGACCTGAAATAAATCAATACTTTTTTTATCATGGTGCATGGCAATTTTCAGGAAAATAGTAGATTAGTTTAACAATTGCCCATTTGGATGTTGACATTTTTATTATTCACATTCTTATTTGTAGGTTGGGGTGATGGCTTGACCTGGGTTCAGACTTATGAAGAAGGGCTTCATAAAGCAAGAAAAAGGTGAGTTGACAACTAATATTTTTCCATGTTGAATTTACTGGTCACTAGAAGGATGTAGAATAATACTAAAAGCTGGAGAAACAAATGAATGTCCTGAATAGAAAGCTGTAGCTGGTTCCTCCAATGTCAAAGCACTAGCAAAGCAGTCAGACACTAGATAAATAGACCAAAAGGTTTGAACAAGATCGGGGGTCAGCTAGTTGACCTCAACTGGGGCAACAGTGGAACACTGCAATTTACCTCAGTATCCCTGGGTTAGGGGAAGGAAATCAGCCAGGTTTCCAGCTCCTCATTATTACCCAGAGATCATTCCTGAAAGTTGCATGGGAGAAGAGGAGAACTGGGCTTTACTGTGGTGCCTCCTACAGTTGAATGGCCTATTGACACTTATTCTTAAGGAACCAAACCCCAGGAAAACGAAATTGAGTCAAGTGTCTTTAGAGAAGAAGTAGTGGAAAAATTGACTAAAAAATTCCATATCTTCCGAGTGATGAGATCCTTCAGAACTTTTGTAAGGCATGTTTTGCTCATGTATTTGGTAACTTAAATACATTAATAAAGGTGAATTGTATGAATTTTGGTTACTACGTAGAACCCACTATATTGTTGCAGAGACTTGACTAGCTTGACAAGCCTCCCAGAAAGATTATTCAGAATTCTACTGCAATAATGAATAAGAAGTGATTAAATCAGACCTATAAATCAGGATCACAAGAACAGCGGGGATTCCAGTGTTTTATGTTGACCCAAAACATGCTTCATTTGATAGTCTTTACAATTGTTTCCCTTCCATGTAAAGGTTCAACCCCTACTGTCAATCCTCATTTGTTAAACATGGTTGTAAAACATACATTTGTCTATGGACATTCTACAGGATATCCATTAGTTTCCAACTATTTTAAGAGTACCATTTATTTAACAATGTGGCAGTATCTTTAGCTTTAGGTAAATTGTTTAACAATTGTTCTTGGACGTTTGGTGCAGTTGTTCTCTTCTGAGGACATGGATGAGAGAGGGATCATCAACAATTAAAAGTAAAGCTCAGCATCCAGTCTTTATGACCAACTTGAGAAGAGGACAGGGAGGTGATGGAGTTTCCAACCTAACCTTCAATAATTTGCCTGTACACCTTGTCCAGCCTACCTTACCTGCAGTCATTTTGTTCTTCATTGAGAGAATGAAGGAAGTCTCAAACCCAGTTGTATTTCTTCTCATTATGATTATCAAGTGAAAATATATAGCTGATAACAATAGTCCAGGTTACCAACAGTAAGGGAAAGCCCTACATTTAATCTAGACAAAATGTTAAAACAATTTCAAAGGTTCATTTTCAATGTAGACTGTATTTTTTCTCTCGCTTTACCATGTGTCTATCATGATGTAAACAAAATTATTTTTCTGAAAAGTAATTTCTAAATTATTTGTTTGTTTCAGCAACAAGCCATTAATGGTCATTCATCACTTGGACAATTGTCCCCATTGCCACGGTAATAATATTTTTTAATTAGACATTCTTTACAGTTCTATTGTAATAAGTCTTTTAATATGTAATTAGAATTATAATTATTATTCTGCTTAAACACCATATTCAATATATAGCACAGAGAGTGATTTTACAAAATGTCGATTGCACAGTAAAGCATGCAGTAAACATCAGGGGTTAAGCCAATACCACCCAGAGATTGATTGAGGACTAGTTTAATTCTCCTACTGTAGTAAAAACACAACTGGAGAAAAGTTCCATTATACGTCATCTTTGGCGAAGTGGACGACTAGTGGGATTTCCTATTATAAGCGCGGATTGGGCTACATGTAGTGCTCGCCTGAATTTATACCCAGACAGGTGCAAATCAGTGCATTGCTATGGACCTTTGAAAGCTACGGAATGATCCATTGGACATTCAACATACCAGTTTTTAAAGTCATTAAAAAGTTATTAAAAAAACAATTTCTAAGTTCTGTGCATACATTAAGTTGCATCTTAGTTTTTTTTACCCAGCCAGGTTTGATGTGAGCTTGTACCTTAAAGTTGCTTTCTCTCTCCATTTGACTCTACTGCTAGCAGTGATATTATTTCGACTCAGCAGTACAAAAGAATCATTATACTTCTTGCTCCGTACTAATTGGGGATAATTATATATTAACTTCTGAGTTTGCTTTTGTGTATAGAATGCAACAAAATTATGTGTTAGGTTTTTACTGTCATTAAAAAGACTGACTTGACTCTTTAATGTATAAAAATCGGTCACGCAAAAATTCTTGGGTTATTCAATATTCCTGAGAGCTTTCAAGGGAACATTGTCCAGTGGAGATGGTATCCATTCTCACCAGTCATGTTTATACTGTAGTGAAATGAATCAAACTGCCCCTGACTTTAGGTATCAGGTTTCCAGCATATTTCACCGTGGCAGAAAATTACATCCAAACCAAAGTGATTTGTCACCAAGTATCCAGGACATACACAGTGTAAGAATGTCCGCTTTTGCAGATTGTTCTGTGATGGATTCGAATGGTGTTTCAGCTTCAAACCACAAATCATTATTGTCTTAAAAAAATTAAAATATGCAGCTTGACAAAATGTCATTTTTTTGTTGATATAAAATCCATCAAACACAAGAGGCAAATTTGTACATCAAAATGTTCTTCAAAGTACTGAAAGAGATTCATTGCCAGTCATTAACAATAAAAAAGTAAACAGTAAATTTAACATTAAGGGTACTTTAGCTCTTTAAGTTAAAGAATTACTTCACCATTGCATTTTTGTGTAGCACTCCTTCAAATGGCCCATTTTCACCGGATGCCTTAGGTGCTATGAAGAACTTAACTTTTTTAGGTGAAAGTTCAGATTGCCCACATCTCAGCAGATACTGTAACATCATTAGTGCACAAGCAAACATAAACATATGAAGTTAAAGATTGACCAGCTGCTTCAATGTATTAATGGAGAATTGATTATTCTAGTTGTGGTCCTGTTTGCTTTTTTCTTAAATAACAATAATCGTTACACGTGATCTTTCAAATCAGGAAGACATCTCAAAGCATTTCACAGGATATATTGTAATATATATCCTGTGGCCGTTGAAGTGGCCCCATAGATGAGGCAGTGAACCACAGGCCACAACAGGATAGGAATAGGCCATCCAGGCCTATGAGCTTGTTCCACCATTTTGGTCATGACTGGTCTGCATCTTAATGTGATTTGCCTGCCCTTTCACCATATTCCTTGATTGCCCGTGCCCACTAAATACTAACGATAAATAATAATCCTTGTATTTGGTGTGTCATCTCATTACATTATCAGAATATCTGAAAGCATGTTACAATTAAATGCAATGACTGTGTATTTGTAGGCAAATGCAGCAGCCAATTTGTGCACTGTAATGTCCCATAGACACGAGGTGAATGACCAATATTATCTGTGGAATTGTTGGAGAAGACAAGGCAAAAATGCTACCAACTAAACCAGGTTGCCAACTAATTAACCATCTACCTCCCGTTTCAATATTTCAATTGACCTGGAAGCTACAATCTTTTGGGGTGCGAAGTCTCACCAAGTAGATATGAGTTCTAACATAATGCCCTGGGAATACTAGACATGAAGCAATTTCACTTCCAGCAACAAAATGGACAGGTTAATTTATAGCATGGGAGATTGCAATCTTCAGTGATTCATTCTTGCAGTGATTGTTTCTGTTTAATTTTACTGCAATTAATTATGAAGATCACAACTGAAGCCACACCAGCCAGGTTCATCGACAGGACCTAGAGGGACAGATCAGTCACTGGAAACAGGGATTCCCAGTAAATTCCTGCAAGCAGGGTCCATTCTCCCCAGGGAAAGCACGCCTATTCCATTCTAGACATAGGGAAATTTCCATGTGTTAGTGGCACACATTGGTAAAACTCAGTTTGGTTTACAGACTTTTAAACTCTGTAAATGATGGATTTCACATGTGTCAGACACTCAGCTGACCAAAAAACATCATGAAGTCACAAGGCAACATAGTTATTGCTCATATCTATAGAACAAATGCTGCAAGTAGTTTACAGCAGGTAGCTGTGAATTCCTGGGTTTTTAATGGATGGCAATAGCCTCGTTCAGTCAATATATCAGTGATTAACAACAGTAGTAAATACAAAATGGAAAAAAATACTTTATTTGTATCATTCTGATAAAATAAAACTATACAATCTGAAAAGTTCTAGAGAGATATTGGATCCTTTGTTGATGGTATTGCTGAACAACTTTCATTTTGCTCTAACATTATGTAATGTGTCATAACCAATTTCATGTGATAACTTGATGCCAACTTTGCTGCAACTGCTATAGTATAACCATAGCCAAGAAAGTAAAGTGTTACTAATCTATGTTATTTATAGCACTGAGGAAAGTTTTTGCTGAAAGTGAAGAAATCCAGTCATTGGCTGACAATGATTTCATTATGTTGAATCTAAAGGTAAGGAATGTTTTATTTATCTATTAATATTTCCTATGAAAAGAAAGAAGTTTAACATTTGTTGAAATGAACCCATGTGGCCTTTTTACAAGAATAATCCTTACATTTGGTATAGTATATTCATGCCAGGAGGACATCTCAAAGCACTTCACAGGGTATATTGTAAAGTAGAGTAACTGTGTTTTTTGAGCAATTTGTGCAGCAAAATTTAAATTAGTGCAGGATTCTTCAATTGAGTCACACTCTGGAAAGTGTTTCTTCATAGTTCCTAAGAAAAAACTGACAACCAAATTTAAATTAGAAGAATTTTCCACGATCCTACAGCATTTTAAATTTTAAGACAAAATTATTCAAATGCTATGCAATCTTAGATAATCTCACAAATGCAATCTTAGATAAAATATGAATAATTGTGTTGCAAATTATTTACACATTATTTTTGGAAACAAAGTAATATGGAATTAAATAAATGGTCATAAGAAATTAAACTGAATGTGGAAAATAGGAAAACAAGAACAGATGTCACAAAGCATTTCACAGAATATACTGTAAAGTGAATTCACTGTTTATTTTGTGGACAAAATGTGGCAGCCAATTGTGCATTGTCTCGCTTTTAAATATATTATAATTATAAGAGTAGCATCCATTATTCTATTATTCATGTATTTAAGCACTCTATGACATCAGTCTGTCTACCTTTTAAATATATAATATATATATACACCTTTCTCTCTTTTAACTATATTATAATTATTAGAATAGCATCCATTATTCTATTATTCTTGTATTTAAGCTCTTCGAGGCATTATTCCACACAAAGGGCGTTTATCAATGCAAGTTTTTTTTATTAATAATCATATGCACAATAATCAACTTTGTTGATGGAGAATTTTTTATCTGTAAATGATAAACAGATCAGGTTGTCAAAGCACCCCCAGCTCCGGTGCCCAGCGAGCAGTGTCGAGCATTTTGAAACGTCCTCCCAATGAGATAGTTGTTGTATAAAAATATAAGTTGTACTATATTTAATCTTGAAGGAAAGTACTGAATGAACCAGTCTCTTTCTGATACCCGCCTACTTCCCTACTAGTACTTCTCTATTGCTATTATTAGTAAGTAGGTACCCAGTTGTTAGTCGATTGGCGGATTTAAAAAAAATTAAAAATGTGGCCACTCAATCCATGACTGTTTGTGGCACATTGCTGTGCGCAATTGGCTGCCCCGTTTCGCCCACAACATATTCAGTCAATTCACTTTACAATATATTCTGTGAAATGCTTCAAGATGTCTTGAAGGCGTGATACGGCATTATATCGAATGCAAGGATTCTTATTATTATTATCATGGCAAATTAGTGCCTGTGTAATAGCATAGACCAGTATGATGCTATTTTCAGATTTTTAACACGGGTGTAAATTACCTATCTACCTATCCACCTACCTAATTACCAATTGCCTGACCTACTGACCAACCTACCTACTGATCTGAGCGCTCTGAGATGCTATCCTGCTTGGAGAGCGCTATATAAGTGCAAGTTGTCGTTTTTGTTGTTGATCGATTGACCGACCAACTGACTGAATGCCGAACAACTGACCTACTGACCTCCTATTAACCTACTGATCAAGCCACCTCCTTACATTGGTAGATTCGAAGGAGCAAGAAAACGGCCTAGATGCCCATCAAGTTCACCCCAAACATTGCATCTATATCGAGAAGCTTTAGAAACGTCAGCTAACTGAATTGTGCTGCATTCTGATGCAATACAGTTCTCAACCATTCAACACGTTATTTAAATTTAAATTATTTTTTCTTTACCTTTAGCATGAAACCAGTGACAAGCACCTTTCACCTGATGGTAAATACGTCCCCCGTATACTTTTTGTAGGTGAGTACCTGACCTGCTTGTACATTCACAGTCATCAATACCCACTGGAAGTCTCATCAACTCCACTTCCAATCTGTAAAATTGCCAATTAAAGACCACTAATTTGTTCCTATTTCGTTATTATCAGAAGTCTAATTACTTTCTCTCTAAATTACCTAGTTTGCTATTTCGTGCCAGATTACAAGCATACCCGTTGCCTTCGTCTCTCTGGGTCTGGCCTCCTCCTCATCCCCCGAGTTCTCCGCTCCACCCTCAACCGCCGTGCCTTCATCCACTACGCCCCGAGGCTCTGGAATTCCCTTCCTCACTCCCTTCGCTTCGCCCCCTCTCTTCCTATTTTCAGGTCTCTGCTGAAGACATTTCTTTGGTCACCTTCCTCCCCCTCCCCCTGGCTCGGCCCTGGGATCCGTTACTTTGAAGCGCTCTGAGACGCCGACCGGCGTGGAGGGCGCTATATAAATCCAAGTTGTTGTTGTTGAGTGCATCTTTGAATTTTCAGCCAATGGGGAGGAAAATTTCAGGTGCTAGACATACTACTTTTAATGGTGCTTGCGTGCTACTTTACAGATAGTGAGAAACCCCTCCACTGTTAATAAGATGGTCTCTATGGAGGCTTAGATTTAAGATCATTACCAAAAAACAAGAGGTAAATTGGAAGTGTTTATCTTCTTACATGGAAGGTGATGGAACACCATACAAAATAGTGGTTCAGACCATTCATAATAGTGTTTGAAGGTGAGTTGGACAAGTCATGGGTTTGAGGGAGAGAAATTCAGCATGGGATGGGGAACGACAAGGGAGTGGAACTAAGTGGAATAATCTTTCAAAGCTACACAGGCATGGTGGGCCAAATGCCTTCAAATCTTTGAGTGTTTATAACTTTAGAACTTTATAGCACAGAAGAAGACCATTCAGCCTATCATGTCATGCTGGCTCTTTGAAAGAGCAATTCATTCAGTCCAATGTAACTGCTTTGTCTCCATACCCCTTCAAATTAGTTATTTTCAAATATCTATTTACTTATAAAAAGCTGTTATAGTGTCCACCTGGCTAGTTGGTAGCACTCGCCCCTCTAAGTCAGAAGGTTATGGGCTCAAGCACATTAAGCTCATTAAAGCCATCCTTCATATGAGATGTCAAACTGAGGTTGTGTCTGTGCTGTTCAGGAAGACATTGAAGATTCCATGGCACCTCCAACCATGTAGCACACACACAGAGCGCTCTAGTTGAGTGTCAGCATACACTGGATGAGTTCCAAGTACTGAAGTGGGGCTTGAACCCACAGCTTTCTGATTCATCCTGAAGTATTCTCTGGGCTTACTTTTTCGATCCCAATTGAAAGCATTCCCAGTGAAAGTTCAATTTGAAATGTCATGTTGTATTTTCAGAGTACTACACAGTAATATGCTCATGGTCTCTGTGAAAGACACTATCATTTAATATTATTTTTCTAGCAATGGGTTGAATTATTCACTTATTTTAACCACCTGACCACTAATAACCACTTCTGTGCATTTCACAGTTTTAATTGTATCTTTGCCCACAAAACACACAATCACTCCACTTTACACTATATCCTGTGAAGTGCTTGGAGATATCCTTCTAACATGAACTACACTATACCAAATGTAAACATTATTAATATTACATTATTTTGTTTTTGCTTCGCTGCAGATCCTTCTATGACAGTCAGAGCAGATATTACAGGGAAGTATGCAAACCGCCTCTACGCTTATGAGCCCAAAGATATTCCAATATGTAAGTGCCTTACAAAAGATTTCCATCCATTCTTGATCTATTCAAAGAGAAGTTGGTTAACTTCAATTTATTTGCATATTATAGCCATTTTGGAAAATACATCCTACTTTTCTTTTGCTGGCAAGAACTGTAATTAAATTTAGTTACAATACCTTATGAGTCTGAGTTTATATAGGGTTAATGCTTGGTCACTGTGTGATACAAGCTACAGATAAATAAATATTTCAAAACTTTTAAAAAAATATATCTTGTCCCCCTCCCTCTCCAAAACATATGGTAGGAAATAAAATAAAATGTTTTCATAGTCTGTTACAATAGGTGGACGAGAAGTAGAATCAGTGGAAATGTGTAAAAATAAAGTTACAAATTGTTTTTCCTGTTTTTAAAATTGAATGTGTTTCCTTATTTTCTCATTTCTGCCCACTGCCATATGCCTCCTCTCCCCAGACTCCTCTCTTGCTGGGATACGGTTCCATGGGCTCCGCTTGCCCTCTGGTAACCCGTCCAAGTGACCATTGTTCATATTGTTTCTCAGCTGTGAGTGTCAACAGCCTCCTCGACTTTAGAGGACATCACAGCTTTCTTCATCAGTTGACACAAATGCCTAGTTACATGAACCCCCTAAGGTCGGTATCTGGTGAAGCAGTGCTAAGCTGATGTCATGAAGAGGAATACTAACTTCCTACATGGTCCTCACTGCTTGAAAAACAACATGTTGCCTATATTGAATCTTCAAAGGGTTTGGGCAAAGCCATTCTCTTAGATTTGGTGGCTGTTCAGTGCCAAACTTATGGTCATTTTGGACTTTTTTAAGGACAGATTTTAATTATATTTTCTGTCCTTCATATTATTAACACTATTGATAACTTAACATTAAGTGCTCTGAGACGCTACTCTGCATGGAGGGCGCCATATAAGTGCGAGTTGTTGCTGTTGTAACATCACATATTACCCCCAAACCCCAACAAATATATTTATCGTTTGATTCATCCAAAAGAAACTCAACTTATAGTGCTCCGTTTGCTTTTCAGTGATTCAAAACATGAAGAAAGCAAAACGTTTGCAACAGTTGGAATTATAACTGGACGCTGCTGCACTCTTCTTACCTTTAAAAGGCCTGAAATATGTTCTTTTACTCACTGCCAATTCCTTGTAATTGCTTAAAATAAACACTTTCACGTGCAAAATCAATGTTTGTGTGACTTTTATGTCTTTCACAGTTCAAACGCAGGAACCTTATTTTATCAGTAATATATATGGGGTAAAATTCCACACGGGTCTAGATTATTCTATTAACATAGCATTTTAGGATGTTCAGAATCTCGCAAATTGCTGAATTCAGTTTTCTGTAGTTCTTAAAAGTATTTACAGAAAAAATGTTTCAAACTTAAGGCCCTATTTGAGAAAGTCCCAAATTCTGTATTCTTTGAATATTATGTTAATAAAATAGATCTAGATCTAGGGCTTGCTGTCAAGGGTCAGACACTGAGCAGGGGAGAGGGAGAGAAGGGAAGGGAGGTGATCATAGGCGCAATTGAGGAGGTAGGTTTTAAGGCAGGACTTAAAGACAAATAAAGGGAACGGGGTGAGACAGATGGGTAGAGAGTGGGAGTTCAATGGGTTTAGGGGCATAGCATCTGAATATTTGTCCACTGATGGTCAAAATTAAAAGCTATATTTTCCATCCTGGTACCTATACCAAGCCTGGTAGCTCTAAAATGTAAAGAAAACAGAATAAATCTAGACCCAGGTGGAATTTCTCCCCTGAAATGTTCACAAAATAATGATAATGCTTAATTTTGATATAGCACCTTCTCATACCAGGAACCCATCTCAATGGACATACTGGAAAGTGACTGTGTATTTTGTGGCCAAATACAGCAGCCAATTGTGCACAATTATGTCCCACAAAAGCCTTGAGGCAAATGACCAATTTTATTTGGTGACCAGGATGCTGACCAAGATTGCAGAATTGCAGGACCTGGGTTTGATTCTCAGGAAGGGAGAAATGTTAGGCAAGTTTCCTTACTCTACACACCTCTGTTTACCTAGCAGTAAAAACCCAGTTGTTATTCGATCTACGGGTCACTTTTCCGCTTTCCCGTGATAAGGTGTTATATCAAATGCATGGATTATTATTACTATTATAATTATTAAAAAGTCATGTGAGAGGCCAGTTTCCAAATTAAGCCAACACTTAAAATTGTTCAAAATTCTGCATAATTTTAAATTTTAAGACAATGGTTTTAAGGCTGAGACTATGAGAAATTCCAGGCCCCAGAAGTCACTCAGACAAACTCATTTTCTCTTGCCAGGAAAATAGACTGGAGAGACCTGCTAATCAGAAGGAAACATCTTATAATAAATACAGTAAATCCTCCCCAATTATACAACAATTACAATTACATTTACAATAAGGTATAAAATGATTCAGTAGCCAGGGCTGAATGCTAATTTTTACACAATAGAGAAGCATTTTGTGATGAATGACACCCACTTTTAAGTACACGTGTACTTTATTCACTGGTGGGACACTAGATGGCTGTACTTACTTTCCAGTGCACTCAGCTAATTCCATTATTAACAGTGGAAACAATACAATTGTTTGGCAACTATTCCTGGATGTGATGATTCACTTAGTTTTCACCCTGGGTTTAAAACATGTTCCAAATACGAATGTATTGGTTCTGAGTATAGCATCTTATGATCCTTTGACTTCAAGCAACAGATTGCTGGATTTTGCCTTTGAAATTAAATTATTTTCAAAGACAAGGAAAAGATAGGGTTGGACAAAGGCCAACTCTCAGGAATAATTATTTTCTTCCTTAAGGTAGAACATTGAATCAAGTAGATCCATGCATGTTTTAGGCTACTGCTAATAATATTCCTTGCATTTGATATAAGCCTCAAAACTCTTCACAGGATTTACTTTAAAATGGAGGACTGTGCATTTGTAGGTGAGTTTGAATCAATTGTGTCTTTATTCCAGGCAGGGTGAAAAATCAGGCAAATTTCCTTTCTCTGCACGTCTCTGTTTACCTAGCAGTAAGTAGGAACCGGGTTGTTAAGTCAACTGGCAGATTGCTTTCTGGGGATAATAGCCCCTTCAAAAAAAATGTAGTCACTCGATCCATGACTGTTTGTGGGACACTTCTGTGCGCAATTGGCTGCCGCGTTCGCCCACAAATATACAGTCAATTCACTTTACAGTGTGTTCTGTGAAACGCTTTGGGACGTCCTCCCGACGTGAAAAGCGCTATATCAAATGCAAGGATTATTATTATTATTATTTTGTGAAGCGCTTTGAGACGTCTCAATGGCCTGATAAGGCGCTATATCAAATGCGAGGATTATTATTAACATTGAACATTCTGCTTAAGGTTGCCCAAATGATATTTGAAATCACTTTACCACTAAGTTTCTTTTTTTAATGCCGTTCAGGACGTGGTGCAGTCAATGAGATTCAATACTCTTTTCCCCTGGCCTGGAGCAAGCCAAAGTCCCTGCAGCCTCGGCATTCTCCAGCTGGGGGCAGGCTGGGGTCTGCTAGGGAGACCCTGAGCTCTTCTCTCACCACAGGCAGATGGAAAAGGTCTGCAGCTGTGGAGCGCAGCACCTGAGAGACTGACAGACCAGGGAAACAGGAGTAGAGAGGGAGAGAGGTGGGAAACCACATGGGAGAGCATGGCACAGACAGGGTGCAGATTAATGATTACAAATACAGGGAACTGCACACCTCTGAGCTTGTTAGAGGTAGTGAGGTGCTGTCTGCTCCTGCTAGAGATGTTGGAGGGCACTGAGACTGGGATGATAGGATTGCAATAAGTCACAGATGTTGGGTGAGCCTGTGGAGGGAACTGAATGTGAGGATGGGATCTTTGAATTTGATTCACTGGGCGATGGGGAGCGGATGCAAGGCCAGTGGAGCAAGGATGAGGGTGCGGCTGGGTGTCATCCGTATACCTGTGGAAGTGGATCCCTTATCTGCAGATGAGGTTACCAAATGGGAGCATACAGATAATGAAATACAGAAGACCAAGGGTGAAGCCATGAGGAATGCTGCATAGTGACTGTGCTGAGGTGGGAGCGGAAACCATTGGGAAGAATGATGACGTGGTCTTCTGTTGTGTTGCTGCTCTGTACGGTCCTTCTCATGACCGCCTGTGAAAGAGTGCACACAGTGCTGTGATGAATTTGGAGTGGGAGTGTTTCAATGTATAGTATACCTTAAAGGGAGTGAAGTATCTGGTATTTCTCAAGCTCTGTCCTCGGTCCCCTCCTCTTCACACTCTATATGCTCCCCCTTGGTGACATCATCCGCAGACATGGGGTTAACTTCCGCATGTATGCGGATGACACCCAACTCTACCTTTCCTCCTTTACTCTCAACTCCACGACCACCTCCTGACAGCTGCCTGTCCGACATCGAGTCCTGGACGAGAGACAACTTTCTTCAGCTCAACGTGCGCAAAACTGAGGCCCTCCCGATTGGCTCACGTCAGCGCCTCCGCACCTCAGGCGCTGACAGCATCAGCATCCAAGGCTGCACTCTCCACCTCTCAAAGCCAGTCAGGAACCTCGGCGTTCTGTTCGACCCTGAGCTGTCCTTTCTTCCTCATATCCGCTCCACAACTGGCACTGCCTTCCATCACCTCCGAAACATCGCCAGACTATGGCACTACCTCACCCCTCACGCTGCTGAAACACTGGTACACGCCTTTATCACCTCAAGGCTGGACTATGGGACCTCTCTCCTCGCCGGCCTTCCCGCCACCTCCCTCCACACTGCAGGTCATTCAGAACTCTGCAACTCGTGTACTGTCCCGCACCAGGCTTCGCGACCACATCACTCCCACCCTCGCTCGCCTCCACTGGCTCCCCATCCCCCAGAGGATTGAATTCAAGATTCTCATCCTCACCTACAAGGCCATTCACGGCCTCGCTCCCTCCTACCTCTCCGACCTACTATCCCCCTACTTATCTGCCCGTACTCTCCGTTCCTCTGGCTCCGGTCTGCTCCACATCCCCCGCCCCAACCGCCCTACCATTGGTGGCCGGGCCTTCAGCCTCTCAGCCCCGAGGCTCTGGAACTCCATTCTCCAGTCCCTTCGCCTTGCTTCCTCCCTTTCCTTTTTCAAGGCCATTCTCAAGACCTTTCTCTTCGACCGTGCCTTCAGCTCCCCTCTCGACTCTCTACCCCCTCCTCGCTCCCTCCCTTCCCTCCCCTCACCCTTACCATTTCCCCCCTGCTCGGGTCCCGACCCAACTCTCCAGCGCCTTGGGACGTCCTCCCGACGTGAAAGGCGCACTATAAATGAAATCTTGTTGTTGTTGTTCAAACATTACATTTTATGGAAATTGATCTTATTTTGGGATTTATTAAGTTAAAGGCGAACATGATGAGGATCCACACACTCTGCCCCTTTTGAGCAGAGTAAGCAACATAAATATATTAATAGACAATAAAATGTTCAAAGGAGCTGAACCTTATTCATTATCTTTTACCCTCCCTCCTGGAAACTGATGAAAACTTACGCGACATGAAACGCAGCATTAATTTGAAACAGCCTGGTGGGTGGAACAAATTACCACAAGCAGGTTTTTCCTGCTTACAAACATGTTAAATCACAGGAAGAATTCAAGGAGATGACAAATTCTGTCACTTTGAGCCTCTGCAGATATTTGCATTAGCACACATCATCATTTTATTTGTGCCCCATACACGAAATAATTCACGTGCACTCAATACAGTAACCAGCTCTAGTACTAACGCAGTTTTATTATAATTTGAATGTTTCCTTTTTAAAAAATATAATAAGGATGAGCAGAATAAGGGGTGAAATTAGCAGCGCTACACCCTCAACACTGTTCCAACTTTCAGCCCATCAAAGGCCTTCTTTTAAAAGTATTTGGATTTTTCGAAGAATGATTTTCATTTAAATGGTTTAAAATTCAGGGACAACTCAATGGTTCACCCTAGGGTGAAATTTGTGATTTTTCATAATGTGTTCCTTAAAACAGGGGTTGACATTGACTACAAAAACAGTCAATTGTTATCACAAATCTTGAGTGTAAATTTACCCCCGACTGCTGATAACTGTCGCCAGTGATAATATATTATCGCAATTGTGACCCCAAAAAGCTTCAAAGGAGGAAGATCCAACATTTCCTGGGGTTTACCTA